TTTCCAGGTTCTGGCTATGACAAACAATGCTGCTATGAACATAGCTGAGCACATGTCCTTGTAGCAGGATTGAGCATCCTTTGGGTATATACCCAAAAATGGTATTGCTGGGTCTTGAGGTAGGTTGTTTCCTAATTTTCCGAGATTTTTTTCCATATTGATTTCCAAAGCGGCTGTACCAGTTTGCCCTTCTACCAGCAATGCAGAAGTGTTCCCTTTATTCCACGATCTCTCTAGCATAAGTTGTCATCAGTGTTTTTGATCTGGGCCATTCTTACAGGTGCAAGATGGAATTTCAGAGTTGTTTTGATTTGCATTTCTCTAATGGCTAAGGATGTTGAGCATTTCCTTAAGTGTCTTTCAGCCATTTTAGATTCTTCTATTGAGAGTTCTCTGTTTAGGTCTGTACTTCCCCCCCCCCTTTTTTATTGGATTATTTGTTCTTTCCATGACCAGTTTTTTGAGTTCTTTGTGTATTTTGGAGATCAGTCCTCTGTCTGATGTGGGGTTGGTGAAGATATTTTCCCATTCTCTTGGCTGCCGTTTTGTCTTATTGATTATGTCCTTGGCTTTACAGAAGCTTCTCAGTTTCAGGAGGTCCCATTTATTGATTGTTTCTCTTAGTGTCTCTGCTACTGGGGTTATATTTAGGAAGTGGTCTCCTGTGCCAATGAGTTCAAGTGTACTTCCCACTTTCTTTTCTATGAGGTTCAGTGTGGCTGGCTTTATGTTGAGGTCTTTGATCCATTTGGACTTGAGTTTAACCCACAAAATACTAATAGTACTGCTCTGATTTTAAAACTAAGGAAACTGAGCAAAGGAAGGTACAATAGATAAACATGGCAGGGTGCCAAGGTGCACCTGACCAGTTCTCTGAGGTGTAAAATAAACACCTCAAGTTTTAAAAGTTCTACATTTTGCCTTAAAAGAGTAAAAACATATTTATTTGCATAATATCTAGACCACAAATGACATTAAAATGGTTGAGTTTTCTTTTCATAGTCTGGAAGACATTTTGTTTTACACTTAATAGTCTAAAAAATTTGTCTTTCTGTATATCAATGTGCATGTCCCACAATGTGTAGAGGCCAGAGAACAGCCTGCTGGAGATGGTCCCTTCTCCCTCTGTGTGAACGCTGCAGATCTGACTCAGGCTGTCAGATGTTCCCAAGTGCTTTTTCTGCAGAGCCGTCTCTCTCACCATGTGTCATAATGTAGAGGACAATTCTGAGAAAATATCTCTGCAAATCTCTTCACTCTGATATTCATTATTTAAATACTCCAGCTTCAGTCCTTGTCAATTGCATTTTTGTTAATACAGAGAATGTATTATTTGGGAGATGCTTTTATATAGAAGCAAATTATAAAGTCTCTTCTGTTTTGTTTGACATCAGAAAGTTGATAAATATTTTGTTATTATTTCAATAACTGTAGTAATATAATTCATTTATTAATGTAATAGCTAGAAGATTAGATTTTAAATGTTCTTGCCATCAAAAAAGAGTATATACAGTGAAAGTTATGTTTGCTAGCTTGATTTAATTATAAAATGTGACAGAATATCATACTATACTCCATAAATTCATAGTTATCATAAATTAAAAATAAACTCACAAGACTGAATTAATTTTTTTTTTTACCTCGTTCACTGTTAGGATTTGATTGCATAGCACACAGACACACTGCATTTCTCGGTTACCTAGGAAAGCGTCATTCAGAGGGGAAGCCCAGTGGTGGTCGATACCCGTGGACAGTGGTTTCATCAAGATTAAAACTGTGTTTTTTCCTTAATTACTGAGATTTATGAATTACTTTTTATCTTGCTGTGACAAAATCAATTTCAGCAAGAAGGGGTTTGTTTTGGTTCCCAGTGTGACGGTACAGTCAGTCATGGTGGGAAAGGCATAACTCCCAGTGTGACAGAACAGATAGTTGTCGTGGAGAAGTCGCGGTAGTGGGCATTTGAGGTAGCTGGTCACTTGGTAGCTGCTGTCAGACTAGAAATCAGTAAGTTCTAGTTCTCAGCTCACTTTCTTCTCATTCCATCCAAGACCCTAAGACCATGGGATGGTTCCAGCCACAGTCAATAACCCTAACCTAAATAGCCCTTCACAGACACAGCTAGAGGCTCCTCTCTCTAGGCAGCACTTGACAGACTGTCTCCTCAGTGATTCTAGATTCAACAGGTTGACAACAAAACTAGCCACTGTTGCACGAGGAGGGTGGCCCTTTCCTCCCGGCTAGCTTACACCCAAAATAAACACACAGAAATTGTATTAATTAAAATACTGCTTGGCTCATTAGCTCTAGTTTCTTATTGGCTAATTTTTACATCTTAATTTAACCCATTTCTATTAATCTGTGTATTGCCATGTGACTGTGACTTACTGGCAAGATTCTAACCAGCGTCCGTCTCAGGCGGGAGATCCACGGCGTCTCTCACTCTGCCCTTCTTCCCAGCATTCAGTTCTGTCTTCTCTGCCAAGTCAGTTTCTTTATTCAATTAATGAAAGCAACACATAAACAGAAGGACCTCCTACACCAAACCATCTCTAGTGCTTCCAGGGATTTGTGGAAGCTGGTATCCATTAACAGTTCAAAGCAATTACTTCCTATTGAGTGACATTTTCGGCCAGTTCAGTCATTGGGTTCTTTTCAGTTCTCCATGTCCTATGAGTAGTTGATTCAGGAAGAAGAAATGATGTGACAGGTACAGATGGAAGAATGAATCAGAGGGCATGGGACCCTCAGACGGTCTGTTCTCTGACACTGAAAGCTTGGGGCTTCCTTTGGGGTCAAGAATTTGCTAGAAGGCCTCACTGAACCCATTGAAAGCTGTTTATATTTGGTCTACAGTTTATTAACAGGAGAAAGGATACATATTAAAATCACCCAAGGGCAGAACTGTGTAGACTAGTCTGGTAAGTTACCGAATGCAGAATGTCATGGTCTTCTCTCAGCAGTGACGTATGGCAGTACCCATGCAGTATTGCCAAGCCAAGAGGATTGCCCAGGTCTCGATCTCCAGGGCTTTATTGGAACTCCAGGGCTTGACCATAGTTCTTTGTTCAGGTGGCTGTTCTCTGCGTCTAGTCTCCTGTCTTTCATGCATGACTCAGAGACACACTCAAGGCCTGCAGACAAGCAGAGACCATAGAGATTGCTGCCAAAAGCTGAGCTCAAAAACTGATGATGTGTGGCCTTCTTAGACAGGGTTAAATTCTTCACTACAGAGAAGTACAGTGTTCAAGATCTCAAATTGGAAAATTCAGAATTCAGTGTTTCAAAATTCTAAAGTTTTAGTGCAAAAATTCAAAACACGATTCTCACCTGAACATGTGACATATTAAAACGCTAAAAAAATTTTCAGATGATATATGTAAGGTGGGGGAGAAGTATACATGTATTTTACGTTTAGACTGGAGTCCCAACTTGAAAGTTTCTTTTTTATTTGCAAGTATTTCATATTTTAAAAAATATGGGCAAGGGATGGTTCTGTATGTTGACATGGAGTGCTCACAGATTGGTGTGAATGTACTTGAACTCTGCTTTGCAATGATAATCATCCGGAAGAGAAGAATCTGTGAATGTGAGGCAAACAGAGGCAAAGATGCCTTTAGGTAGGAAATAAGCATACGTATTCCAGGCTAGTTTCTCTTAGTTCACCCATTTACTGCTGCTGTGGGGCAAATCCAGACCCTTCTCAGGTGACATGGTAAAAGACACACGAGAAAAACTGTCTTTAAGGTCTGCTGTCAGGACATGGCTTCTCACGTGGTTCAGTCTGTGACTGCGTGGCTTCATCTGCCTTCGCATCGTATCATGGCGGTAGGAACGTGTGCAAGAAGAGGCTGTGCCCCTTTACAGACAGGAAGCAGGGATGATCAGCATTGCTCACCTATCCATAGGACATGTTTCTATGTTTCTTTTGTTCTACTTTTCCTCTTTTTCTTCCTTAGACGCTTTAATAATTGTTTATTATTATTATTTTTAGTTACGTGTGGTTGTGTGTGTCTGCCATGTGGATATGTGCTTGAGAACATGGTGCCCATGGACGCCAGATGTGGCAGAAACCTTGGAGCCCCAGTTACAAACAGTTGTGAGCTGTCCTGTGGGTGCTGGGAACTGAACCGTGGTCAGTTCGCTGGAAGAGCAGCCAGTGCTCTTAACCATTGAGCCATCTCTTCAGCCCTTCTTTAAAGCCTTGTTATCCCACTTGAATTGGAGGTAGGAATTATTTTAAATTGTCTTTATTTTTCTGAATATCCATGTTTCTACTTGTCCCTCTACCCCAGGCTTTTAAAATGAATAGTTCCATTTTCTGCTTTACAAAAAAAAAAAAAGATTCAAACTTTTTATTGCTATCATACCTCTTTCCAAAATTTCTGAACATGAGTTAATATTTTTAGCCTTTGACTTTGTTCCATTTTACCAAATCTTTCCCATGAACATTTGTGCATGCATGCAGCAGACAGTATTGGCTGCATGTGGAAGTCATTTCCAACCCCCATCTTCCTTCAACATTTACTGGGAGGTTTGCTAATCTTTCCCCATCCCCCTTCTCTCTCACACATCCGACTCTTATAACAGGATAGCCATATGGCACACTTGTGGCCAATGGTATGGGGGAAGGGGCTCAAGGTGAGTTACTTGGCTTCCTAACAGAAGGGTGCACTTTTTCCCCTTTATTTTTGTGGGGTCTCTGTTTGTAGGACCCGACATCTGCAGTAAAGTCATCTTACAGCAGGGAAGGGCACACAGATAGTCCTGGTCTGTGGGTTTATAGCACAAAGGTTGTGAAAAGAAACCAGAGCCTAAAACCATTCTAGCTTTGTTTACTTCGGACTTTGGGTACAGAAACAGAAGTGCCCAATGGACTGAACATCATCAGCTATGCTTTCTGGTCCTTGCATCTGAAGGTATCTTAAGGTGCAGAAGTTTGTCCCAGTTAAAACAAACCAGAACCGGAAAGAAGCAGTTCTCAGCATAGGAATACTTACCCAAATTTTACAGGGTTAGAAATTACATCACTCCGGGTCATTAACTTAGCAATGATCCAGTCAGCGTTTAAACATCCTCTGAGCCTGGGCTGAGAAGACGACTCAGTCAGTAAGTCGCCTGCTGTACAAGCACCAGGACCTGCGTTTGGATCCCCAGAACTCATGCAAAGCTCGATGCTGTGGCCCATGTCTGTAACCCAGTGTTCCACGGGATGGGAGGCAGAAGCAGGAGACTCCCTCTCAGGCCAGCTAGCCTGACATACATGGGGCAAGCAAGAGACCCCTGAGCTTGCCCTCTAACCTCCCCACACACATCATGGCAGGCACACACCCCTCCCCTCCACATGTACACACACAGTAGCATAAACATATAGCCTGTACAGTTCGCTCTATCACATCTTGTGAATTTTGTCTCCCTTTCCAGTCCTCTGGCAGTTTATCTGGGTCTAGAGTTCAGATCCATATGTTGAGGCCCAGTGTGCTGAGTCGTAGGGTCATCCACTCATCACAAGCGCCTCCCAAATAGCTCTCCTTGTCTGTCCCAGGGATGCTTGAAATTCATAAGGTCTGGATGAAAACTCAGACCTGTCTTAAACAGCTAGGATCTTTCTTGTTGGTAACAGATACTTGGTAATTGGAACCGGGCCTCTTTTCCCCCTCTATTGCTACGCTCACTGTATCTATTTCCCCTCCCTACAGCCCCGCCCCATTCCTTTCCTCCACTGAGGTAGCTGTCCCCGAAGACCCTCTCTGCCACGTCTCAGGGAAGCTGAGCTAGCGTCACTGACCTTTCCAGCGTGCACATGCTGTCACGTTGCTCTCCTCGGACGGGTGCTTCAGTGGCATCTCGTTTTCTGGACAAAAGTTCGAATTCTAGCTCTGGAAATCGGGCCCTGATTGATCTGGTCGTGGTGCAGTTCCCCACACCTACTCCATTCCGCTGTCTAAGCATTGCCTGTCCTCATTCATTTTGCTTCCCCTTGCCGCTGAGTCTTTGCTCTTCCTGAAGTGGTCTTTGCTGCGTCTTCATCTCGCCCTTTGGGAAAGCCTTCTGTGAAGTCCCCCCATACCTGTGCTCTTGCTGCTTGCAGTGTCTTGATGGGGTGTGCTCTTCCTTCAGGGCCTCTGCCTCCCTCCTGTTGGACCTCCGCCCTTTGCCCTCCATCCCACCAGTGCCCTGCGACTGCAAACAATATTGCTGTTTTCTTATGTTTCAGAAATTTAGAATTTTCAATGGTTATCTTTTAATTTGTCTTCTCTCTTATTTTAAGCTTTTAAAAATAAAACCTAGTCCCCCTTTCCAGCTTTAGGCTTCCCTAAGCAGACTGACATTGCCCAACTTGAGAATTGATTTAGTGCCAGCAGTCAGCTGATTCTGTTTGTAGGAAAGAAAGAAAGGGGAGAAAGGTGTTTTCAGCTCTGAGCCCCAGCTACTGAACCTGACAAGTTCTGACATCTCTTCTCTTGGCTACCGCTCACTCCATTTCCTGTTTCCATGGAAATGGACATCAGACCACAGAAACAGTGAGATTCTGGTGGCTAATTGCTATTGCAGATTTTTGAGTTCTGTTTGTCTGTGGTGTGATTAGTTAGTGACTGCCTGTGCCATCGGATGTGATAGTTAGCCACACATCTGAGGCAGCTTCTAGGGTTGAGAGCTGTACTGTGTGTCGCTAACTGACATGCTAAACTGTGGTCCTTGCATCATCCGGGAAATGGCGACCCTGCCATGGAGGGCTCCAGACTTGCAGGGAGGGGTCTGCTGCTGTCTCACTGTCTGGCCGTGGTCAGTTGTGATAGTTACTCCTGAGCCAGTTCCTGCTGCTTATCCTGTTTACAGGAGACCTAGAGAAAACGGCCTCCGCGGTGTGCTTATTATCTGTTTTCTACTAGAAAACAAAGAGATAAAGTAATAACTAATTTGAGTCAAGGAAATCAAACTATGTTTCTAGTTATCTAAAATGGAAACCTATTTCTAATTGAAGCCTTTTCTTTCTGTACAGTGGTCAAAAGTTCTTTTTGTGGTTAAGAATGTTGTTCACTTGCTACCTGATTAAGTCCTACCCCAATCTTATAGCAGTGAACTGTGCCGAAGATAATCGTTAAGATGCGCTTGCATTTTCTGTTTAATGAACTGAGTTACTCCATTGCTTGTTGAATTTGACTTTTCTTTTAACATTTAAACATGAGGATGTCAAAACTGTCGACCTTCTGTGATAGGCTCATCTCTGCTAGGTCAAGATTTCTTTGTAACTCTAAATTTAGAATTTGGGTAAGATTGGTCTGTATTTCTCTTTCTTAGTAATGTCTTAATGTGGTTTGAGTATCAAGGTAATTGTAACCTCATAAAAAGAGTTTGGCCATGTTCCTTCTGTTTCTATTGTGTGGAATATTTGAGGAGTATTGGTATTAGTTCTTCTTTGCAAATCTTGTAGAATTCTGAGCTGAAACCATCTGGTCCTGGGTTTTTTTTGGTTGGGAGACTTTTGATTACTGTTTCTATCTCTTCAGCAGTTATAGGTCTATTTAATTTGCTTATCTGGTCTTGATTTAATTTTGGTAAATGATATTTATCCAGAAAGTTGTTCATTTCCTTTAAGTTTTCCAATTTTGTGGAGTACAGGTATTCGAAAAATGACCTGATGATTCTCTGGATTTCCTCCATTTCTGTTGTTATGCCCCCCTTTTCATTTCTGATTTTGTTAATTTGGATATTCTCTCAATGCCTTTTGGTTAGTTTGGATAAAGGTTTTCTATTTTGTTGGTTTTCTCCAAGAACCAACTCTTTGTCTCATTGATTCTTTGTATTATTTTGTTTCTATTTTGTTGATTTCAGCTCTCAATTTGATTATTTCCTGCAGTCTAGTTCTCCTGGGTGAGTTTGATTCTTTTTTGCTCTAAAGTTTTCAAAGGTTCTGTTAATTCACTAGTGTGGGATTTTTCTAGCTTCTTTATGTAGGCATTTAGAGCTATGAACTTTTAACACTACTTTCATTGTGTCCCATAACTTTGGGTATGTTGTGTGGTCATTTTCATTGAATTTTAGGAAGTCTTTAATTTCTCCCTTTATTTCTTCCTTGACCCATTGATGATTCAGGTGAGCATTGTTTAATTTCCATGTGTTTGTGGACTTTCTGGGATTGGTATTACTGTTGAATTCTTGTTTTAAGCCATGGTAATCTGCTAAAATATATGGGATTATTCCAGATTTTTTGTATCTGTTGAAGTTTGTTTTGTTACCTAGTATGTGGTCAGTTTTTGAGAAGGTTCCATGAAGTGTTGAGAAGAAGGTATATTCTTTTATGTTTGAATGAAATGTTCTATAGATGTCTGTTAAGTCCATTTGAGTCATAACATCTGTTAGTTCCCTTATTTCTCTGTTCATTTTTTGTCTGATTGACCTGTCCAGTGGTGAAAGTGGAGTGTTGAAGTCTCCCACTATTACTGTGTGGGGTTTTAATGTATGATTTAAGCTTTAGAAGTGTTTCTTTTACATATGAGGGTGCCCTTGTATTTGGGGCATAGATGTTCAGTATTGAGATTTCCTCTTGATGCATTTTTCCTGTGACTAATATGAAATGTCCTTCTTTGTCTTGTTTGATTGATTTTAGTTTGAAGTCTATTTTGTTAGATATTAGGATAGCTACACCCACTTGTTTCTTATTCCATTTAATTGGAAAATTTTTTTCCAACCCTTTACTCTGAGGTGGTATCTGTCTTTGAGGTTGAGGTGTGTTTCTTGTATGCAGCAGAAGGGTGGATTCTGTTTTCTTATCCAATCTGTTAGGCTTTGTCTCTTTATAGATGAGTTAAGTCCATTTATATTAAGGGATATTAATGACCAGTGATTGCCATCTTCTATTAATTTAGTTTTTGTTGGTGGTGATGTTATTTTGTGTGTTTTTCTCTTCTTGGGATTTGCTGCTGTAAGATTATCTATTGTCTGTGTTTTTGTGGATGTAGCCAACTTTCTTGGGTGGGAGTTTTTCTTCTAGTACTTTGTGTAGGGCTGGGTTTGTGGCTAGGTATTGGTGAAATCTGGTTTTGTCATGGAATACCTTGTTTTGTCCTTTGAAAGTTTTTCTGGGTATAGTAGTCTGGGCTGGCATCTGTGCTCTCTTAATATCTGCATAATGCTTGACCAGGACCTTCTGGTTTTCATTGTCTCCATTGAGAAGTCAGGTGTAAGTCTGATAGGTCTGCTTTTATATGTTATTTGGCCTTTTTCTTTTGCCACTCTTAATATTCTTTATTCTGATGTTATCAACATGGAGAAGAATGAAAATAAATCCATATCTATCACCATGCACAAAACTTAAGATCAAAAATCTCTGCATAAAGCAGCCACACTGAACCTCGTAGAAGAAAGTGAAAAGTACACTTGAATGCATTGGCACAGGAGATCACTTTCTAAATATAACCCCAGTAGCACAACAATGAGAGAAACAATTAATAAATGGAACCTTCTGAAGCTGAAAAGCTTTTGTAAAGCAAAGGACATGGTCAACAAGACAAAATAACAGCCTGCAGAATGGGAAAAGATCTTCATCAACCCCACATCAGACAGAAGTCTGATCTCCAAAATATACAAAGAACTCAAGAAATTGGTCATCAAGAGAACAAATTATCCAATAAAAAGTGGAGTACAGACCTGAACAGAGAAATCTCAACAGAGGAATCTAAAATGGCTGAAAGACACTTAAGGAAATGTTCAACATTCTTAGTCATCAGAGAAATGCAAATCAAAACAACTCTGAGATTCCATCTTACACCTGTAAGAATGGCCAAGATCAAAACACTGATGACAATTTATGCTGGAGAAGATGTGGGGTAAAGGGAACACTCCTGCATTGCTGATGGGAGCACAAGCTGGTACAGCCCCTTTGTATGTCAGTGTGGTGATTTCTCAGAAAATTAGGAAACAACCTACCTCAAGACCCAGCAATACGACTTTTGGGTATATATCCAAAGGATGCCCAATCATACCACAAGGACATGTGCTCAACTATGTTTATAGCAGCATTGTTTGTCATATCCAGAACTGGAAACAACCTAAATGCCCTTCGACCAAAGAATGGATGAGGAA